AACCGTGGCCCAGAACTAGATGGGAAGGCGGGTGAGCTTCCTCTCTGGTTGCGACACGAACGAAGGAAGGTTGCTCGAGACACAGAGATCGGAGCGAAATAAAGTCCGCGGGAATTGTGCGCGAGTGCCATTTGACTGCAGGCCAAGCCAGACACCGACTTCGTTTCTTTTTAGACCGTAAGGCTTAGCTGGTGCGGCATTATTGCGCTATTAATGGCGGCCATCTCGTTGGCCGTGGCGCGCGAAACGAGAACCAACCAACAGCCCTTCGCGCGACCCAACCCTCCCTCTCGAAAAGGGGGTTACGACCGTTCCTTGATAATCCGGATAACTTGACGCGGATGTATACGTTGTGGAGGGACTTGTGTTTGGTACGATGCCAGGGTCGCAGTGTCCAAGGTTTGGTTAGTTGCGCGCATCTCAACGGCCGAAACGCTTTCCATTTTGCTTCTTCGATATGTTATTTCTTTTTTCCATTTTTTTTTTTATCGAATTGAAATTACTTTCATTCGGGGATATATTAATTTATTGAGAAATTAAACAAATCAATACAGCGTTTTTCAACGGATTTGGAAAAGGATAAGTCTATACGTACAAAAATATGTGTACTTTGTATTTTGAACTATGTAATTTGAAATTAGTAGAGCATTATCTTCGCACGAATTGATCGATTACAAATTTATAAAGGAAGGAACGGGAATGGCGAAGAAAAAGAATGAAACAAATATGCGAATATATTGGAAAATGGGCATATGAAATAAGAAAAGGGGAAAAGTGGAAATTGTAAACGTAAACATTTGTTTTATAGAGCAATGGGACGGAGAAAAAAATAAATTAAAAAAACGAGATAAATAAGAAAGAAGGCAGAGGGAAAAAAGAGAGAAACGCGGTAAAAATGAAAAGAAAATAAGATTAGAGACTCTACCATCGTATGAGATAGGGGATAAGTAACAAAGGAAAAAAAAAAGGAAAAAAAAAAGGAAAAAGAAGGAGGGAATACGAGAGAATTGAAGAAAAGTGAGAAGAAAAAGAAGTAAATAGAGTGGGGAAAAATGAAAGAAAAGGAAAGAAAATAAAAAGTGTTAAACGAAATGGGGAAGAGAAACATGCGGTGCGACTAATAAAAAGAGAAGCTTTATTCAAAACGTCCCATAAAAGCTGGAGTAATAGAGAAACGCATTCGGACGAATCGTTTTCTCGTTCTCTTTCCTATTTTCGCATTTACGATCATCGTCGAAGAATACACGTATTGTTCTTTTTGTTCCTTGTTTATTAAATCTGCTAAGATCCTTTATTTATTCGTATGTTTAGCCAAAGAAACGTTTACATTCTGATATTTTTCAAGAATAAGAACGTTTTCTTTCACATTCGCGCAAACGTTATGAAACTGGGAGAAAAACTTGAAGAAAAATTGAGACAAAAAAAAAAAATTGATTTCACGATTCTATTAAAAATCGAAATGATATTTCCGTTCCGATTATACACTTAAATCATAAAATTATAAATATGAGATATTACGTATAATATAAACGCACATTTTAAATTTCTATTCTTTTTACTTTTCCTAGTTTCTTTTCCCCCCTTTTTACGATCTTTTAAATTTTGATCGTCGATTTTCCATCAAACTTCGAAATATAGTAATTCAATACTTGAACGATTTATTCAATCCCCACTACACCATTTTCAATAACAAAGCACCTTTCCTCTATTATCGCGAATACATGGAAAATTCGCGAAACGTTATAAAGCGACTCAACGTGCCTCGGTTTATATTCAATGAAATTCGCGTATCAAACGATCGATCAAAATTGATCGGTAACGAACGAGGCGCGAAACAAGTGGAAGAAGAAAACTGGATGCATAATAGGAAGTTATTCGAAACAAGGATTTATACGTGATACCAAAACGTCGTGAAAAATAAAGTTTTCACATAAAAAAAAACGTAATGCGCGACGATTTAAACGATAAAATAAACACCGTGTATGCAAAGTGGAAAAAACTAGAAGATTCGTGAAAAATTAACGCTTCGAAACCGATCTCGTGAAAATCGTAACGCTGAACTGGTAATACGACGAAAAAGAGAATGTCAGCTGGAGGGTGGAGTTTGGTCGATGGACCGAGTTGATATTGAACTAATTATCCGGATTAACGTTGGTAATGCGATTTCTGGATTATATTTATTGACCGGTCACTACGTGGTAGTATTTCGGTGACTTTCATCACGGAGGACTCGTTTTAAAACGAATTTACCGTCGCATGTTTAAAATCATTTCGAGGATACCTGAACGTTGATTATTTATTATCGGGATGAGTTGTTCGAATCATAAATGAATTTTTTTACGAAGAGATTTCACTCTCTCGTTACCGAAAGTGACCTACAATTAAGTAGAGCGAACGATTCTGATATACATTGTAATGTTTTCTGTTTCGAAATACGGGTTCAACATTTGGAACAACTTTACTCGATAATAATTTATTTCATTCCATAATTTCATCCAGCGAGATACATTGTGCCACGCAATTTATCAAACAAATAATTCTCGTATAAAATTATCGTGAAAACATCTTTTCAAAATTTCACAATTTTCTTTTTTTTTTTTCTATATTTAAATTTATATCACGCAGCGATCATGTTCTATGCAAAAGTTTTCTACGCTTTTATATTATATTTTATTATAAAAGAAATTAAAATAAAATAAAATATCGAAAGTATCAAAAGCGTAATTTATTTAAAAAGTGTTTTCTTAATCACACTTTTTCGTCCTTGTAGAAAGTAATTGTCAAGTTTAGAACTTCCTACCTTATTCCAGAAGAATAATTCAAGAACGAGTAATTACGAGTAAAAAGTCAGCTTCAAAGCCGTGAGGAATAAGAAAAGAGCAGGGAAATGCAGCAGGGAAAAGATAGTTTCGTTTGTCGCGAACAAACGTTTTCCTGGAAAGTTTCCAATTTAATATAATATTAAAACGAATAAGAGAATCGGCACATAAGCGCGACGAAATAGAGAATGATTACTCAATGAGTGTTACGAATGTGTATTATATATGATTAATGTTTAATTTGTGTTATGAATTAAACGCGATAAGATAAATTAATTAGAAATAACTTTCGCAAAAATGTCTTAGTGAATGATTCGAATAAGTATTACAATCGGTGCACGTGTTTGAAAAATATTTTTAGTTTGTAAATATTTTCCTGAAAACTTGTTGCGCGTTCAAAATTGGGAGCATTCAGTTTCAGCATTCAGTTTCATCTTCAAATTATTCCCGTCTTCCAAGTGAATCGACAATTTAGAAAGGAACAGTTTATCAAATATTTAAATATTCGTATATCCTTTCCTTATATTTTACTTTTCAGATTAATTCTCGTTAATCTCGATACAGTGAAAATTTCATCGCGTTTTCTAGTGTTTCTCGCGTGGCTGAGCTTCACGTGAATACATCGATTTGCATCCGTGGACGCAACCATACGTCGTTTACACGTACGTACGTAAATAAACAAGTTCTTATTACTTTATATTTTATATAAAGTAAGATATTTCTTTGCCACGATTTATATTTGAATTTTTAGAAAAAGGACAAAACGTTTATTCGACGTACAGTTGAACATTCTTTGGACGACAATGTTAAAAATGAATTTATATTTATATAAATTCGAGAACAAGATTCATTCATTGTTGAAAAAGAAACACGATACTCGAGACACGTCTGCAACTTTTACTTTTTTTTTTAAATAAATTCCAAAGAGAAATCACAATTGAATTGTTATTTGAATTTTACCTGCTCGTTGAAATTATCATTGGTTATTTATCTTGAAAAATAACCATCTTCGATTACACTCGAGCACTCGCGCTGTCTCTTGACCTCAGATTAAATCAATGGTGGATGGTTGAATCGACCTTCGGGTCATCGATACGATAAGAAACAACAACTCGTGTAGCGCTTTTTTTCTCTGTTATTCTTGTTTTTCCTTTTTTTCTTTTCCGTTTATTTATATATTTCGATACAATGTTGTAAAAATTTATTCTCGATTGTTATTTCAAATCGAGCTTGACTTTCATCGACTATTTATTTATTAATCATCTATGATTCGCGAATTCGTATCACACAGTTCGATGTTTCGTTTTATCGATCAAACGTATGCATTTCCTATTGAATTTTACCGATAAAAAATCGATATATATAAAAAGTCCAATCCTCGCCAATTCTTTTATAACATTTCCTCATTATTATTACTATTAATATCTTTAATCATATTCTTCTCCAAATTCTAAATTTAATGTTCTTTTGCAACCATCCTTCTTATCGGAAAGCAATGTTGTATAATACGTTTCTTCGTTTATATTAAATATGATTTAGAATGTTAAAATAAATGATGCAACAAGCTTTATCGTACTCATCGAAAGGAACACAAAATATTTGATTAAAAATATGCGTGCCTTATAAAATAGATATAATAATTAAAATTATTATAAATAAATAAATTTATTTTCTTCCTGGAATAATAATTCGAGCTTCGTTTACTACGTTCACAATTATTATTAATAAAATAATAAACTGTACTAATTAAAAATATAAATGCGATAATTAACATTTATCATGACTAAAATATACGATTGTTACATTGAAATAAAAAAAAAAATATATATATAGATTATTACTACTCTACTCTCGTTAATGTATAGAAGAATTCTTCAAATAATCCATCTTAATATCATTAAGATTTAATACAGTAAATTATGATCCTTTTATCTATCGGTGCATATCCTTGCCTGGTATAGAAGCAAAATAAAAATCCACGATAAATAAAACGTTCGAGGATCCAAAAATTATTCGATCTATCGACGAACGATGATCGATCATAGGCAAAAATTTATCATTTTCGATGGTATCGCGAATCAAGCGGTATAGCGAGAGATATCTCGTGGTAGGGACCTGGGAACCAGCTGTTCTAATCTCTTTCGACCGGCATATCGCGAGTGGAACCGCGGTAGTAGTACGCTCAACGTCAGCGTGGACGTTTCCTCTCGTTTCGAATCTCCTCGCTTCCAAGATCGTCGAGTTCCTTCATCTTTCACCTTTTTAAAAAACGATCGTCGATCGCGCGAATGTCGGGGCATCGTGATATCGTGGTGGAACTTTCAAGCGATCGGCGGTGATTCGTCGTCGAAATTCCGGCCGTGTATTCGACTCGTGGCGAGACGGGGAACAACATCGGTGTGCACAGTGAGTTTGATTAATCAATCGTGAAACGCATTCAGCAAGATTTCTTCTTCCTTATTTGGATGAGTTTCGGGTAAGAAGAAGATTCTTCTTCTAGTATTCTTTTTACGATGATTATTTAAAAATAATATAAGCGTATTTGTAGAATAAAAAGTCATCTTCTCGATTCGCGTGTAAACGTTTACACCGTTGCAAAAATTGCTTATCATTTCGCTGTTCAATTTTTAATAGAACGAGTTAATATCGTTTCGACTAAAAATCCGGGTGACGAGGATAAAATCGAGGACAAAATATAAGATGGAAGAAATTTTCGTAAATACGCGCGCGGTATAAAAAGGAAAAAGAAAGAAAAGAAAAAGATGGATCGCGAAGAAAGTGGGGAACTAGAAGGGAGAAAAATTGGCTCACGATGCTCGGTAACGGTTTACGACAAGCTGGGAATATTTTTCTGACCCCAAACTGACAAGCTCGGCACAGAATGCCGCACACGAGGCCCGATTAAAAATGTGCTCGATAAGAAACTCGTGGAAAAGTTCGTGTTCCTTAACCTCCTCCACGCTGCATTTCTATTAAGTGGCGGTGGTAGCCGTCGGGAGGGACGCTGATCCAATTTACTTTTCATTCAGCGTGAGACCAACAGCAATTTGAAAATTTTCTTCACAACGCTTGCCTGCCTTTCGCGTTCAATCAGCTCGTAATTTATTCTTCGTTTCGTTTCGTTCCCTACTCTTCCTTTCGTCTTTCGTTTCCTATCAGTTGGAAAAAAGTAGAAAGACATTAGCGTAACGAGTTTCTTTCGAATACTTTTTACGGCAAGATCAAGCGCGTTTCTCGGAATTGTTAGAAATCGTAGGACGTTCTCGACGTTCTTACACCGATTACACCGATATATTCTTTTATTTTCTTTTCAAGAAAAAAAGAAAAAAAAAATTGACTTACATCGAATCATCATCTTTTGCAAAACTTGATGATGAAAGCGTCGTTTGGACGCGCGAGAAAAAGCGTCCGTATCTCTATTCCGACGGCACGAGCAGCGAGAATTTCGAAAAGAAAGTTTCGAAATTGAAAAAAAGAAGAAGAAGAAAAAAAAAGATTACAAAATCGTCGTTGGTCGTAAGGAAAGATTCGAGTAAGTACCGATTTATCGCGCGTAGTCGATTTCTCGCTAATTGTTTATTACTCGAATGGTCGTCGGATATAAATTGCATCGCGTCGCGACGTATTTTTAATGATTCGCGTATAAATAGTACACCATGGCGATAACCCGTTCTTTCTTTCTCCTTTCCTCCTCCTCTCTTCGCTCGCTACGACGATCTCGGCCGCGTTTTTATCGCGCTCCCGTCATCCTAGTTGTTCCCGCTATTCACCTTTCGTTATCACGTCAGGACCTCGATTTTTCCAAAACCGCAAGTGTCCATTACGATCACCACGCTCTATTCCTATCCTCTACAGTATCGTACGAAAAAAAATATGAAAAATTCATCAAACGTGGATATATTTCGATCATTCATCCCTACATTTCTTCGTAATTCTTAAAGTTCGTGTCCAAGTCTTCTATACGTCATTCGCTGTCCTACGGTAATCCTGGTAATTCGGATCTTACGGTAAAAAAAAGGGATGGATCGAAACGGATTAGAATCGAGATCGCTGCCTGCCTCTCCGTAGCTGCCAATAAACCGTGGTTGTCCACGGTTATTAACGCAATTAGAATAATCGATCGTCTAACGGAGTCTAACGGCCGATATCGCGGTGTAATGGCATTATTACGACGACGCGATGGGAATGATGTAAGGTGACGTGCGGCAATCCGTCGGGGGAGGGAAGGGAGAGGAAGGCAACGTTTCCTGCGGGTGAAATCAGATTCGCGTTGCCGTGCACAACGGAGTTGACGTACGGAGTTGTCGTCGTCGTCGTCGTCGTCGTCGAGGAAGGAACGAAGCGCGATTAAACCACGACGATTCCTGGTGATAAACAGACTGAACGAAATTATATTCGAACTCACTTCGGATCCGGAGGAATCCGTTTCCAACGAGCGAAAAATCCTGTCTCCGTCCAGAATAGTTTCCTTTGCCGAGTAGAGATGATTTCTAGAAACCCCATCGCCGATTTTTCCATGGAATTCGCGTTATAATCGAATGCACGAGTCGAAGATAAATCGATAAATCGAAGGATTCGCCAACAACGATCCTCCTATATTCCAACGTTTCGTTAATCTTATCTATCTTACGTTTGAAATCCGCTTTCTTCGAAATCCGACGGGAGTCGGACACAGTCTCTGGATCAACGATCCAGACCACGACGATCACCGCCACGATTTACAAGTTCAAGCCTTGTGCGTCTGCACAGGCGCCGATAACAAGTTGCATTGAAAGCCTATCGCCGATACGAGAGAGTCTCATTTTTATCGCGGTCGCGACGCTTCCTCCTCGAGAGTTCGTCGCGCGCCGACCGCGCGTAAACACTAGCTTATTATTCCAGAATAATATCGCACCGGGTAGATGGAGAAAAGGGAGATGGTGCTCGCGCCGATTTTTACATCTCGATCGACGACGAAACGAGGAAAGGGGAAACGCGGAGGAACGGGAGGAAAAGAGGAGAGAAGAAGTGGAGTGAAAAATGGAATTTCACGAAGTCGAATACGAACGGGGCGAAGCAGTCGACCAGCTGTTGACCTCTCTTCTGCTTTTGATCTTTGATCTCTCGTTTCAAGATAATCGTTCGCGTAGCTGATCGAAACGATACGGTTCGTAGACGGAGCGTCGATGGATCTGCAGACCGAACGAATTAATTCTCCGCGACGTACTGGCACCGATAGAACGGCGCCACTCCATTCGAACGCGTTCAAACTTTTCGCTTCATCGATACATCCAACGTTTTATCCTTCGAATTTTATTTATCTGTGAAAAGAAAACACTTTTTCTTTTTTTTTTTTTTTTTTTTCTCCCCTTACTTACGTTCTTCGATCTAAGAGGAAGCGACACGAATTCCATTCGACACGAGCCGGCTGCTGCCTGTCACAATCGGAAACGGAGGATTGTTCCGCTCGATTGGCTGGTAAACAGAATCATTATGTCATCCACAACTGGGCAGCGTGATAACGACACCATCGTGGCGTGTTTCCCAGATCACGTGTCGTGACTTTCTCCTCGCGTAACGTAAATTATTTTCACGTTCGAGATCAACGGTTTCCCGCTTCTCCCTCTTCGTCTCTTTTATTTTCCCATCCCACGAATCGTTTCTTCTCGTCGATAGAATCTGCGTCGATACGCGGTGTCTCCATGTGTTATCCGGCTGCTTATACGAGATTTATCATCGCGTCACGAAGATAAAGATAGAAAGAAGGAAGGAAGGAATTTATTTTTATCCCGTTCCGTTTGACGCGAGAGAAAAAAAAAAAAAAAAAAGAAACGTACGATAAAATCGAGACATTACCTGTTACCCCACGATACGCGATACATTTCGTTTAGATAGATTCACGAAAAACGAGTTGTTGAACGAGAACGAATTTACGATCCCTGATTGGCAATTGCTTAACGGAATACACGCGAAACGATCGACCCAACGATTTTCGGTATCGAGAGCGTTTGTCTTTCTCAACGACGACGGGTGCAACCGGTCGAATTTAACCCGTGTTCAATGTTTCAAGAGGGTCAACATTACTCGTCGTCGATCGGAACGCCGATTCGCTTCCCACCCATTTCCCTCTACCGTGTATCTATGCTGTACCACTTTGACCGCGATAACGGGCGAATTATCATTGTTAACCAGCTATTAGCGGCTCGGTGTCGTTGCATTAGCGTATCGTCGTCTAGTCCGCATTTGTTCAAACCCCGTTTAATCGCTGGCGTTTAATTAATAAACCATCGAAATCGCTATTTGTACGCATTATACGTAATTGTATCCATTTTTTCCTTCAAACGTGATTTCTTACCTCCCTCGGATTCTTTCTCGTTACGTTCCTTTATCTTTCCACCCATTTATCCGATTACAATATATATTTGAAAATATTTTATTTTCGTGCGATTAATTAACGAGCTTGTATCTCTTTTATCGAGGATACTGTATCAAGGGATACATGGATATATATATATATATACGTAAAGCATCTCGATTCTCGACGTTGAATCCATCATCCATGATCTTTTTGTCCTCGCAGAAAGAACGATTAATGGAAAAAACGAATAGATCGAATCATCTTTGTAGAAAAATTGTGGAAGATGATACTTTTTTTTCGCGTTGAAAGGAACGATCAATGATTACAAAAAAAAAAAAAAAAAAAAAAAAAAATAGAAAAGAATTCAGGGAATTTTTCGAGGGAACCGCAGACAAATAGAGTTAACAAGAGGCTCGTACGGAAGGAAAATTCTCTGCCAGCAATATCGTAACGTTATTAAGAGTGATCACCGACGTTGCAGAACTTTCCGCAGACGCAAGGAGACTTTTTCACGGACACAATGGGAACAATGAGGAACAATTTCGCGGCGGTCTTTGTGCTTCACATCCTGATGCACTTGACGAGTCAATCCCTACGCGGCACCAACGAAAATTCCTCCAAGAGAAACAGTTTGTCCGAACTGCGATCGACGCCCTCCCCGATCTACGAATGCCTCTTCCTAGATCCGGATCTGCCCGTTTGCGACGAGAAATTGTGAGTTACTTCGATATTAAAATTCTTTCCTTATTTTTTCTTTTTTCTCTTTTCTCTCTCTCTCTCTTTTTTTTTCCTTCCTTTGATCGTGCAAAGGACACTACGTGTTACGTGGTACAATAGAGTGACGATTCGCGGTAATAAAAAAAAAAAAAAAGTTTGGAATCGCGTTAAAATCGCGTTGGATCCAGAGAAGAATCGAAAAATTTGAAAAAAATAACGGATCGAAAGATTTCAGAGAGATCAACTTCATTTTCTTCGATGCGAATCGTGTATTTTTTTTATTTTTTTATTTTTTTTCTCCCTCACTCTTGATACCGGAGGAAATAATTATTTAGATGCTCGTCGAAAAGTGATATATACTATTTTTCAAATGATATCGTATTAAATTTATTATATAGCGAGATAGAGATATATAGCCATAAGTATTTACAATATGTGAAAAAATTTTGTTTGATCGTTTAGAATGTTGAAGTTGGCGGAGGATTCGTCGAGCGATCAAGATAATTTTGGTAAAAATAGTGGGCGACGCTCGACGAGAAACGTCGATGTATCCACGACGGACGTCATAGTGTATACCATTGAGGGTTGTTTACCGTCTAAGTAAGACTTCTACATTTCTCTATTCGATATTTATTTATTATATTCTTTAGACGCTCGAGAGAAATAGAGGAAAAGTATATATTTCTGAAAAATATTCGTACATTTCAGAATTGAATTTCGAATACCGATTATTACTTAACAAGATTATATATTATCCGAAATTAAATAATATAAGGATTGTTCAACGTTGTTGCGTTAGAGATAGAGATCAAATTACCCTGTGTGCGTTTCGAATGGAATTAAACTACAAAACGTCGTAATGGTCGAATCGTTCGACAGGATACCCTTCTCGATGCCTTCCTGCGAGGGGATTTCCTTGGACAAGATCGTGGATGTGCAGAAATTCCGTCCCTTCGTAGTGAAGGGAGTGACAAAGCCACCGTTCGTGTTCCCGAAATTCAATTATCGCGAATGGCAGCGTATGATGATGCGGTTGCAGAATCATGTTTCGCCAGAGACGCAATTCGTAAGTAATCGATTCGACTCATCTTGTATTTATCTCAACATGGTGGTAAAATTAAACGTTGCTCGATCTTCTTTCGTCATTCATTTTCTCGCTCATTTACTCACCACGCGTCTCTTTCTACTTCCCTTATCGAATTAATCAACAATTAATTCATAAGTTTCCTTCGAAATTCATTCGAAACGATCTTATTTTCCGCGCGATTCTCCTCCGCTTTCGATCATTCGCCGATATTCGACAACTTACTGGTTTCAGAAAGAAGAACAGCCGATCGGTACGTCCGAGGAAGCGGCGTCGTCGTCGTCGTCGTCGTCGTCGTCGTTCGTCGATCGATCCGTGGTTCAGGATGTAAGAAAGCAAGAGCTGATGAAGGCGGCCACGAAGAAGGAAATGATGCCGAATATGATTGCCGTTATTACGACCAACTCGAACGACTCGTCGCCGAACAACACGCGCATTCTTGATAATTCCAAAGTTGGGAAATCGGTGGATCGACCAGCGGCAAGGACGAGCGAGGAATTTTCCAATATCGTGTCGCGGCCGGCTTCCACCTCTGCAAGCGTAGAAAATCGATCGAGTTTCCGATTCCGTGATCGGATCGATAATTCGAAGGAATCGACGTCTAACGAGTCCCCCGATCGTCCCAAGTTCAATGTTGGAGAAAATTCCGAAATTCCGAATACACCGCCTCGCTACAACCCCGTCGTCCCTCCGGAGTTATCTTCCAACGAGCTTCTAAACTATCATAATTCCGACGAATTCTCAGAATCGCTTCCCAAAGGGAAGGAGATTGAGAGTGCGGTCGATAGTGGGATTGCGCGCGATTTCCCATTCAAAAGAATGATCGTCGGAGCGTTGAGAAGAAGAAGGTTACCGACGCACAACACGGACCAAGCGTCGAACAAATCGGACGATATATCGCGACCACGATTTCGACGCGGCCAACGCAATTCCAACTCTAATTGCGGGGAAGCAAAACGAGCGATTCGAATGTATTAAATTCGATCGGCGAGATGATAATATATTTGCGAATTTCCTCTCAAATATCGCAATTTCACGTAAGAACTGGAGGATCGCCGCTGCCGATTTTGAGAGATAACTCGTTTTTGTGAGAATGCTCCCAATTCCGATTCCTCGGACAATTCCATCATTTGAGTGGCAGCTGCTCGAACTGCTTTCGAATTACCACGATTTTCGCGATTATATTAAACAGCCGCCAATTTATTATTTACGTGTTTCGCTCGTTTTTCGATCGATCTTCGTGCACGAAACTTTTTTTCGCGAAAATTTTGTGGAAAATACAAATCGATGCCTTATAGATTCCCCTCTCTTCCGGATTATCCCGAGGAATCGAGTATCCCGAGTTTAATTTTTTTTTCCTTTTCTTTTTTTTTTTTTTTTTTTTTTTTTAGATGGAGGACATTTCAAGAATTTGATAGATCATTTAATTTATAATTGTAGTTTTTTTTTTTTTTTTTTTAATTTATCTAAGCGAACGTAAATGTCGTCCAGATGAAATTATCGATGTAATTATAAGTGTTATTTAAACGTAATATAATTCGTTATTTATTTAAGTAAATTGATCAGCATAACAGAAACTTTCGTCCATTTTCAGTTTCCCACACGTGTCATTTTTGTAGCAAAAGTTACTATTATATATGGTACTTGAAGTGTCCTTGACATTTAGCCTAAAATATTTCACATCTTTTTCGCATTCACTTTGTCCACTCTGTATATAAAACTCTTGCTACGCGTCATGCGTTAGAATTACGAATAATTACCAATTATCAATTACTTGGTTAACCAAAATGATCGAAAGCATCGAAAATCGCGGGAAAAGTCACTTCCTCGAGAAAAGCTATACTCTATCGCGACGTAGAGAAGTAAACAATGGCAGTGGAATCTGCTAACTCGTCCCCGATCTTGCTTGAAATTTAGAATGAAATTTGTCAACGAAGACAAGCTGTCAAATTGAAAAGAGATAGGGTTAAAACCGGTTACCAGAATCGAGAATACCGATGCTCCATTTTTTTTTTCTTCTTCTTCTTCTTTTCCTTCCTTCCCCTTCCTCGGTCGTTCCCCAATATCGGTCCAAGCATGGAAGAACGAAACGACTCGATGATGCCACGTTTCGACGTAACTTTTCTTCGCGGGAAGGAATAAAAATATATTTTTCGTTTCTCGAATAAAATTAAATAATTAATTTCGACTGCGTTTTTTTTTTTCTCGAGATCGTTCTCGACTATCCAACAACTATTCGGTTAACTCTAGAAATAGTACACAAATCTTCGAACGCTTGACAACAGATTTAGAATGGAGAACGTTGATGCAATTGATAAAATTAAATTTGGTACGAGTAGGGACAATTAAATTGAATAGATTTTCAAGATCTTGTTATACAATTATTTTGAGAAGCGTTCAAATCGTTGTCGAGAAGACTTATGGATATAAATCTTTGTGTATCTTTATCATCTTTTAAGAGATGAACGATACGCGAACGTGAATGGTAAGTAAGATTTCGTTACCTATGATCTCGTTCAATAATAATAAAAGTTTGCGTAGTTGATAAGTTGATTCGACGACATTTTATTTAATCGAATAGGAATATAGAATATAATTTTTAATTTAACTATGCACGAGAAATTGTGATTCTATCTCTGTAACATAAGCCGTCTACTATGAATAAAAAGTAGTATCCTACGTAACGAATCCTTTTCCAAGTTAACACTTGGAATAAACTTACCTATTCTTTGTAATGAAAAAAATTCAAACATGTTCCATCAAAATACATATTTATTCGTACTTTTATTTCAAAAGTAAAATACAAATAATAAAATTTCCAAAAAATTCCATACATCAAAATCAAAATCGTCGTTAAACTTTAATAAAAACTTATAATATTATATACGTATACGCTTAATCTCTACTACATTTTCAAATTTATTCGATATTTTTCGTATTTTTCTTAGGAAAAAATTGGTCGCGGATCAATTCGCGGACATGGACGTTTCAACCGATCCGTTTCTTTCGATCGGAACGTTACGTATTTGCGAAATTTCCGGCATTTTCGCGGTTACACTCGACTCTTCTACGGCTCCCTCCGACGATTCCAAGATCAACTCCGTCGGTGCGAATTGGTTATCGGCTCGTTTCTCGAAATTAGACGGAGAAACGTTACTTCGAATTCCGGGTTCGCGCTCGAGGCTCGAAGAGGAGGATTTATCGTCGAGGTTCGAGGGCGCGATACGCCGCGAAGCAGGAACGTGCGTGGTGGGATAATCCGGGATGAGACTCGTGGATGCCTGGTCAGAATCGGGATTCTTAACATCCGCTTGCTCCGCCGATCCTGCCACGGATTTAACGGAAAACGAATTTCCTGTGAATTTCATCACATTCGTCTGCCTCTCCCCGTCCTTTCCAATCACCGAGATACTCAGGGAAGGTGAGTATTTCGAGTCGGCCATCGATTTCGAAGCTTCCACCGCCGCGTTATTCTCGCACAATGGGATACCGATATCGGGTAGACAATTTTGAGCGACCAAAGTGGCTGTGAACGGAGCGTTCAGGACCTTTGTCACGTATATCTGTTTAGGTTTCGCCGTTTTGTCCAAGTGTGGAACCAAGTGTCTCGCGTCTCTCCTCATCTCTCTCTCTCGTTCCGTGGTTAACGCCTCCGTCCTCTTACCCGATTCGGACATCCTCTCATCCGTCGAGATATCCGTACCCAGGGAAGATTGGAGAGGGAACGAAGCGAGCATCTCCGAAGCCACGAATTCGCTCAAAACTTCCTCCTCGTTCGACGGAACGCTCGATATCGAAAATTCCTCTTTTTCTTCGTTCAAGCCTTTCCCGTGCGCGTGTTGCCCCGGCTTGCTCAGACCGTCCAAACACGACGATACTCCCTTTCCCGGTTTCACGCAAATCGGTTGATGCCATCGAACGATCTCTATCACGCGTATCTCCTCCTGCGGCTTATGGTGTTGATGTCCAGGCCAGAAAAATCGATGCAGGCTCAGATCCAACGCGTCAACGTTCCAAAATATTCCCACTGCCAACAAAAACGACGAAAGAATCTTCATCGCGAGGAACATCCTCTCCAACGACGAGAACAAGATTTTTTATTCGAATCGGTTTTTCACGAACAAACTGATCGACTCGGTCGAGTTGACGGACTGGTAGATTCTCGGACCGGGGTGTGGCTATTTATAGGCGGAAAAGCAGCCGAAACGTTGGATGGAAAATACCACGCCACCGAGGGATTCCATTTTCTCGACCAACCACCGCAACACACCTTTTCGGATAGGTCGACGATGTTTCGGGCGATTAACAGACCCTACGAGTATATACCTGAGTCGAAACCGATTCCACGGCACTTAAGAGGGGCCGCTAACGTCGCGTTAATTGCCCTTAAGCGTCACGGGCCGTGCATCTGTGTGCGGGACCTTCTTCAAGCGGACGAGATAATTACGAAGATGGAGCGTCGCTAATGCGAACGTGCATTTCTGAAATGCTTCTTTCACCATGCTCCTTCTTCCATGCGCATTTAATCGCAGCGTTTATTTTTGGGATACGCGTGAGAAATTACACTCGTGTTCGTTTCCCAATTAATTTTCCCACAAACCGTAATCAGACGTAATTTCTAATTTGATTAATCATTTTCATTCTCTCTCGCAACAGCTGAAAGCACGCCACGTCTTTTAAGTACGATACGATCTTTTCACGACACCATCGGGCAATTTTTAAAAAAAAACAGTTTAAAATTTCTCCTCTTAAGAGAAAGATCAATTCCGTTACGGTAAACTTAAGAATGAAAATTCCAAAAACGAGTATCGGGGGAACGGGACAAAAGGAAGGAGAAGATAGAGAGAGAGAGAGAGAAGAAACTCGGGCACACCTGAGTCGGATTCCTGCTAACCATTAATTCAGCCCCTTCCATCGGATCCTTTTCCGTAGGAGGAGAAGGGGGCACGAGGAAAGGAGAGGATACGAAAAGGAGAAGAATAGCGGAGGTGGGCGAGCGTGGAGATTTCTTGAACGGCGACGAGGATACGACGATCGTGCGATGCGGTATAGAGCGGAGGCTGCGGTTAGAAAGGTTTAAAGCCGGGTCCACAGTGTCGCGGCGCAGCTCGCTATGGCCGCATACCACCTGACCATCTACGCCCAACGATACACACAACCTGTCCGGCATCGTGCATCGCGTCCGCGTACTCACGGTGCCGTACGTCTGACCGACTGGTACCAGTACGGTACCAGTTGCCCTGCAGCCAGCCACCCAGCTGCGCGCGCGCGCGTTTCTCTCGTCTGAACATCGCCATCGTCTCGCCGATCCCATGATTCGATCGATACGTTCCATCTCCAAAGAATACCATCGACCGAGAGCCGAAGCGTCGTTTCGTCGGAGCAAAGGAATTTCCACATTTACCGAGTGAAATTGCCAGCTTCTCCACCCGCACGAGCAAGAGAGGTACGTGCGCTCGAGAGCCATCTCGACTCTGGAAACGTTGAGACAAGTTTGCGCGCAACTTTCCAAGCTTGTCCGTGATCGAATTCCGTTCGGATTGACCGAGTGTCCCGGTGTCAGGTTCGTTCGACACTTTATCTCTGCTCTCGCTTCGTGAACTTGAATTCACGAGGGAGCAGGCTGTTGCGGCCAGCCAACGTCTTGCTCTTTCCGACCGGCTCCCCGAACTTTTCTTCTTCTTCTCTTCTGTTTCCAACGGAATTTTCCGAAATTTTATCGTATTCATCGCTACGGATTACGGTAACGTTCGAATCCAGGTATGGTAATGTTATGTACTACACTTCAACCTTTTCAGAATTTACAGTTATGGGATACGATACGACGTTTAAGTCCTTCCTACCATTTATTACCAATAATATTTACGATCGGATGGAAAAAGACATTGTTGGGTTGAGTTTATTAAGATTCGATTTATGGACTTTTCCTGGCTAATATTTCTACTTATGGATTATAGTATTGAATTTGAGAATCCGAGAATTGGAGGCCTTTTCGAACGGACGGCATTTGTCGTCCGTAGTAGAAGAGGATAATAAAAATATCGTAGTTATTTTGAATTTACGAACGCGTTCGTTCGAATTTTTGAAACTCGTTTACCGTTTATCCGTGACAAAATATTTTTTACAAAAAGGTGTGGCTCGCATTCCGTTTCGAATTGTCCGATGGCTGTAAAACTTCGTTTCTCTCCATTCCATATACCGTATCGCGCGTATTATAATGGTCGAAACTCTAGGCGTGTCAAGGCGTTTGAACAAATATTCCATCGATACGAATTCTAAAACCTGATACACACGCGCGTACGTAATCTCGTTACGACTTTGACTATGTTATTTTTAGTTTCTTCCGTAATGCGCATCATCTTTAATATAGTTTCGCAAAATTACGTGTCAATTAAAGTCAACTTATTGGTTCGAATTACATTCGCATTTTCCGGAGGATAATTTTTCATTCCGAAGACGCTTACATTAATCCGTAATTGCACACGGCAAAGTTCAAGTAACCTCGTTTCCATTCCGAGCATTTCGGTATTTTGAGCATATTTTCCATAAAATTTTTACGACCTTTTCGCGGAACGATGACGAGGATCACGGCTCGACTACCCAGTCACGATTATTGCGTAACACACTTAGGTATCAAAAATACCGCTCGGTTCCTTCTTTTCCACTGTCCTCGAGGCACAGGTGTAAACTCTCGATTCACGATTCGGACCAAGTTAGAAAGTTACGAGTCGCGGCGTCCCTTCTTTCCTCCTTTCTCGTTTATCGCGATTCTCGTGTAATCGCGAATGCACCCACGCGTGCCGCGCACACCACAACCGCGGTGAAACCTTCCGATAATTCGCCTTGTTCGCGTGTGTTTAATTTACGTTTACCCTCTTCGTGTCTTTTCGCTTCGTGCCGGTCTACACACGTACGTATATGCACACTACAAGGTTTAAGAGACAAGGAAGAGGCTATCAACTTTTGCATAACCGTAAAGTCGAAACGTGATTTCCGATAAAGGTTAAGAAAGTACGGGGAAGCGCAAAGAGGAGCGCGATCTCTCCACGTAAAATTCGTACGTTTAAGGGATATTTCGTAATTAAACGTACCTTCGACTCTTTTGCATTTCAACAATGCGTAGTTTCCTTGCGATATTTCTAAATTATCTCCATGTTAAATACCCGACCGTAAACTCCTATTCTGCGGAACGTGCATAAATTTAAACTAGCTACTAAAACATGCTTTATATTCTCGTTTAGAGAATCGCGTTGAAAACGTTAAAAATGAAGATTAGAATTTTAATTCGATTCCGGGTTTTACGATTCGAGACAGCGGCGAAATCGAAAATTTTTGACGTATGTACGATTCCGACCGATTTGCATGGTCCCTCGCGAGGCCGAGTTAAAGCCAAGATGGCGCAACGTTCAACTCTCTATTCGCTGTCCGGAACGTTGCTTCGACAGTTGGTCTTCGCGATAACGTCCACTTTGAAGAAAAACTGGAACACGACGTTCCAGGATAACGCAACGCGCAGTTAAACGTTTCCAATTTCACGGAATACTCGAATGTCGAGGTACGCGTCACGCGATTCGTCCACACTTTCTCTCTTATGTGGTTCGTCTATATATATGTATATATATATATATAGCCATTATACGCTATAATATAATGGAAAAATAACGAGCGAAACGACAAGTTTTAAAAGAGCCGACTGTCCGACTTGCCAATTTGAAATTACGCGACGTATATAAAGAGTTAATAGAGCATCGATAATCGTATATTATTAGATGACACTGTACGTTAACGACGCGTTAAACGATGACCGACGAAACGTGAGGATCCGATGACATTGATAAATAACGAGCGGAGAACAGTGAAAAAGCAAGAAACAAGAGTCGCGTATATAATAATGCGATTATACGTTGCACACGATCGCACGCTTATTCACCGATTCTCGAGAACAGGCGGTGACGCGAGCACACCGCGTTGTCGTAGGTGTTGTTCCACGCGCGCGCCTGTTCCCATTTGCCCGTCCATTCATGGCGAGGAGGACGTTGCTACGCAAAACCGATTCCATTTTCCTTTCTAACTTTCGTATCGTACGTTGTATAACGCCGAATCGATCTTCTCGCGTTACGATCTTAATAATAATCGTTCGTCGCGAGAAATCGAGAAAGATTCGTAGTCGATCGATGCGATCCTCCATCAGGATTTTCGAACTCCTCGACCGGTGAAAGTTTTCATATAATACGGTGCTAATAATAGATAAGATTAAGTCGCGTACAATCGCTTTTTATCGTCAATTTCGATAAAATTTCCAAAACACGACGTGGAAAACTTGAAGAGATAATTATATATACCGGTTATTACTCTCATCGAAATAAGAAATTCCAATGAACGTTCCCTCATGAATAAAAATCCTTTTACGAAGGTTTAACGAGAAGTTTACACGTACAAAGTAGCTCGTGATCTAGATATACAGCATCGTAACGCAAAGAGAATTAGCTTAAATGGACGTGAATGCAGAGGCCGGACTGTTTTCCATTACAACGCAGAGGGGAATGACTGGGAATCGCGTAGCAGCATTATGAATTCGCGTATTCGTTGCCCGCGATTCGTCGAGCGTTCACGTCGTTGCTGCCACAACAGGCACGGATGATTACACCGGTCGATCGTTTAAACAGTCGCCATTTCACGCCCGTTCTTTCCTCATTTTTCATTCTACCGAATCTCACCGGTTTCGGTGATTCGACGATAAAACTGCGACGCTGGAAAATTGTTGAAACAAGGAGAGATCGGTGCAGTGACGACATAGGCTGGACTTGCCGATGTACCGTTAAAAGGTGTGTTCTAACATTCTTCGGACCTATCATTGTGGATAGAAGGTCACTCGTCCGAGAAAAGATCGAACGCGCGCGTTCCAATACCTGGGTGTGTGCACGTGTTACATATAGTGTATTATAGTGTATTATATTTAAATCCAGACGCGTTCCACGCTCCACGTTGTTCGCACATTTTCGCGATGGAAAATTTTCTTTCCAATTTTAAACGATTGATTAGATCGGAGGAATCGTTGAGGAATTCTTCTCGAGTAAGAAAAGATCCGACGATAAGTTAAGTTTCTCTCTCTCTCTCTCTTTCTCGAGAATACGAAGAAGAAAATAATTCTCCACTCGGAGTAATCCATTAAGACGAAAAGCATCGTATCCTCGCACGTGTTCTCCAAACCTCTGAAAGCAGTAAATCGTGTTCTCCGCGATATCACGGGGATCCATACATTACCGCTCAAATACCATAGATCAGTATTGTCCGAGTTAAGCTTCCAGGCTTAGAGATTAGTCGTGAGCTGATTCTTGGATAGGGCGGTGACCTTGAGGTCAATCGATTTTGGATGGACTATAACACGCGTAATTGGTTAGAATCATTAGCCTTCGATACATCGATACATCGATACATCGTTGTAGGAATTAGTCTTTTCGTTCAAAATTTCGAGAAATCGTCAACTTTTCGTCGACTCGAACAAGAAGGGATTATCCTTCAAAACAAGGATAAGGGAAAAAATTAGAGTTTTAACGACCTCTCTCCGTATCGTATATCGATCCAAGGGAATGTCGGGCGAAAAATGATGGATTTGTGAAATTTTTCAGCGACGAACGACGCCTCGTTACATCGGCGATCGCTTACTCGCGCGCTGGCAAAAAGAGAGGCGAGAGAAGCGTGTTGGTTGCGGCAGGTCACGAGGAACGGGTCTTAAGATGGCCTACATTATCCAGCCTTATCGGTGAGAGAAAGAAACAGGGAGAAGGAGAGGAAGAAGAAGAAGAGGAGAAGAGCACCACGTGGCGGGAGAAACGGTCGAGATAATAGCCGGACAGAAAGAAAAATGGGACAAGCTTGGTGCAAGGAGAAGACCTCGAAGGCACAGGACTCCAAGTCTCCTCTGGATCGAGTCTTCGTACGTTGCGCGCATCGGGTATGTCGATAAATATTCCATCCTTTACATCCATCCTTCTTGCTACGTTTATTTATACGGTGAAACGGATGATGTATCGATGAGTGATTTAATTGAATGAAAATATAGGAAATATACCGGTTAAAAAAAAAAAAAAAAAATGGAAACAGGAAGATAGAATCAAGCGAAAAATATCAGTTCCTACAGGGAATACAGGGCGCATCGTAACATGCGCGACCTACTTTCCTGGTCGAACGAGAGACGTAAAAACAAGAAAAATATTTTAACGAGTTGTTACGTTAAATTACGTTGTTAACTACGTGAATTTGGTACAACTGTTTGACTATGATACGCTAATTCGCTCGAAAAGAAAATGATTAATGAAGAGAGGAAATTCGAGTGACGCGAAAAATATACAGGTACGAGTTGTTCCCACTATTTCTGCGTTTCTCGTTCTGAAATATTTTATCGAACGCGATAAAATAGATAATACCACGAAATATTTCAAATTAAGCTGAAAATAAATAGAAAACACAATTCCTCCTTCGAGTAAGATTTTCTGATAACGCCTTATCAGAAAGAGCGATCATTCCAATCTTTCAAATTATATTTCTTCGAAGTCAGTGTCATTACATTTAGTGTCATAATTCGTAATAAAAATTCTCTTCTTAATATCAACTTTAAACGATTTGAACGTTCGCTTTAAAGCGCTTTCACTAGCCGAGTAAAAAATTCTTGTACGAATGATTTTTATATAATAACGATCGAAATGTATCGAATCGAATTCGATTTCCTCCCGAGATGGATATATTACTTTAAAAGACCCATGAAAATTTGATCGGACGGTCAAACTTGAGCAAGTAGATCATCCACCTCTCAACTCCCTATTGCGTTTAATCACTTTATCGTCCGGTAACGGACGTGGAACGGAGCTTCCTCCAAAACTAGTTTGTTACGTCGATACTTGACGGTATTGGCAATTTAAATAACTGATTATATCGCGCGCGCACGTCGGCCACGGTTGCGCGTGCACGCGTGACATGGATTTATCATGGTGCATCGGACTCGGAAACGCCGCGTCGCGCCACGCCGCTCTAATTTCGAATCCCAGACACGCAGATACGTGTGTAATTGCTAATTAACCGAGTGATCCTCCCTCCTCCACCATATACACACTCGCAAAAACTACGTACGAGCCGACGCTCTGCTGTTCGCCGTTTTTCCTACGAGTCCAACGAGTCTATCGTCTCGCTTCTACGTTTTTTCAAAAGTGTACAATCTATCCGTTATACAGCGGAAGAAATATCGTTTTCGATTCGTCTCTATCTTCCGTATATCCTTTATATATTCGAGTAGTAGTTTTCTACAGCCAATTAAGCGTTCAATAGCGGAAATAACGAATCGATTCGTCGTCGTGGACAATCGGTCGATCGATCGAAACGCAAGGCAAAATGTAGAGAAATCTCGTTAATTATCGCGTGTATCGTTTCGATTGTTATCATCATCGACTTTAAGGATTATAAAACTCGTCTTTTTTTTTCTTTCGCATGCATAACGCGTGCGATGATCGTTATTTTTTTTTTTTTTCTTTTCAATAACGGGGACGAAACGACTCTTTTTCTCACTCTCGTTGGTTACGTAAAACACAATCCGCGTTTTACACAGTCCAGTGGGTGTTTCACGCGCGACTCGTTCCGATTCAATCGCGTTCCATTCGCGATTTCTTTTTTGTCCATCCTACGTATATACACGCACCGTATCACGATTAGTGACAATACTTTGGTCTTTTCTCTTCGTTTCCTCGTCACCGATCGAAAACGATTTTTAATATCGGTTTCCTTCAAATTCTTCTTCCCTTCTTTCCCCGCTTCTTTATTTGTATAATAAATTTTGTTTTGGAATCTGCTCGTTTTATTCCCGCTCGTGTATTTTCATTTATTTTTTTACTCGATTGGATAAGCAAGAGAAACAATGGAAATTTTCGCGGATGGAAATTGTTGGACGAGTTCGAGCGAGAGAAAAAAAAGGAAAAACTCATTTTCGTCGAACGAAAGAAAACGCAACAACGAGGAATACAATGCACCTTTTAATCGCGAAAGGCAGGTTATCTCATCGCTTAAAGCCCGTGTAATGCACGCCACGGGTTACCACCACGTCGCGATACTTGGTAATTACTTTCCCCTCGCAAAACGTTAAACTCCCGTTACCATACTGCTATCGTTTCCCTGATATTTTTTCCACCTTTGTCTTACCTATCCTCCAAACGGCCCACGATCGTCCCAATTTTCTACATCAGATACGAATACAACGATTTCACAAAATGTTTTCTCTCAAAACTCATTTCTTCGATTTCCGATTTTTTCTCTTATCGCACTTTTTTTTCCGCTTCCAGACAGAGAGATACACGTTTCTTTCTCTTCGAATACGAGTTGGAAAAGGATATCTTTATTTACAATTTATCTACATTTTCTTAACAAAACATCCTTTCTCCCATTGTCTTTATCTTCACGAGCGACCATAAAACACTTTGACCAGTCGTGAATATAAATAGAATGTTTAATATATATATATATATTCATACGTATATTTCGTGGTACGTGACACTTTCAAAATCCATCCTAAAACAATTTCACAAGCGAGATTCAATTAGAAAAATTTCACGATTACCATCAATGATATTTCCGATAATCCGATTCGTCCGCTTCGATTCGTCGAAACACGAGTTTAATATTTTCTCGAAACTGGCACAAGCTGGACGAAAAGAAAAAAAGAAAAAAAGAAACGACAGAGGCGATGATGATCGATAGGTAGATGATTCATTGTCTGCGCGCAGGACCGATTAGATGCAGAACGGCAACTTCGATGTGGTGGATGAGAAAACGCTGCTCGCGTCAAGGATTTACGGTTGCGCAACATCCGACGACCAAGAAGGAAAAATCGAGGCCGGCGCATGTTTATTGGCCAATTTTTTCTTTTTTTTTTTTTCTTTCTGACCGCGAGCAAAGTTTCTACTCGCGTCGTCCACTCTCCCGACGAATTTCCCGCCTTCTCGCGGTGCACCTTCGAGATTAATTATCTCTAACAAACGTTCTCGGCGGAGGAACGGACGAAATCCTGTTTTACGTCGAGATGTTATGAATTTGATTATTTTTTATGGTCGGGGATTTCGCGCTGGATGTCGTGCAATTTTTCCTTTTTTATTTGAAATGATAATTTAACGCGTACTAGGTACTTGTTAGTCGAGTACCTAATTACTTTTTACTAAGATTATGTGGTTCGCTACTCGGATAAGTATCGCGATACTCGATCATTTTACATTACGCCCCAACTTTTCTCTTAATCCCTTTCTATCTTTAAAGAAAATATTTTTCAATAAATATCTCCTACATCTTCTCGTATATCTTTCGCGATAAGATTTTGCGTTAAAAATCCTTTTTTTTTCTTTTTTTTAATTTCAACTGATATTTTAAATATTCGCAAAAATTCATTAAATCGGTAAGATCGCTCGTAATATAAATAAAAAAAATAATAGAACGATAAGTAGATAATTATACTTACATTTATATTCACGCGTTAATTGTATTTACTTCGAACGACTTTGAACGACTTCGATCGTAGGATGATGAAAAAAACAAACTGCGTAATTACGTTATTGTATAACCATATAAAAAAAAAAAAAAAAAGAAAAAGAAAAAAAAAGATCATCGAATCGCGAATTAAACGAAAACATCCATGAATCCATGAAAGATTTCCTTCGTAATCGTACGTAATCGTTCGACGGATAGTTCTCGTCTTAACGACAAATCGATTCAATAAACGACTATTTTTAGCGACTATCGTTTCAACGACTGTTTTCGACGCGCCACGGCCTATTGCAGTCATTACTCATTCTTATGTAATTCGCACTTAACGCTGCTCAACAGATGTTGCACGCAGGAGTGGAAAAATATTAAATCGCGTTAAATGTTAATTACGCGCTCGATAAGAAAATTAAAACGGTAACGTTCGCCGATATTTCTCTCTTCGTTCGATCACGTCCTTGACAAAACTTCCGATTCAAAATTTAAAAACGAAGCAACCAATCTTTCTCGCCCGATAATATTCCAACATTCCTTTCGGCTCTTACGCAACGTTCCAAACGTTTAAATCTTTCCAATCGATTGCCTCCGAAAAATTAACAATTATCTACGATCGTTGAAAAAAATAAAAGCACAATTCCAATGGAATCGAACAGTTTTCACGATTCTCCGTTACGTACGTGCCGGTCGATCGCTTCGAGGTGCGTCCCAACGTTCCCGCCTTATCCAAACGACGTGTCACGTTTCAAAACGTTGCGCGAACACTTCGTTTAAAGGAGAAACGGCAAGTCGAAATATCTCCGGCTCGAGGACCTCGCGTTCCACTTTTCCTCTACTTTGCCTCTCGCTTCATTTTCAAATTTTTCCAAGAGAACAGATTCTGATTCATTTTGATTGGATTCTCGAGATTATTATTACAATTGTTACGATCTATAATTTCCGAAAATTTGTTTCGTCATCTCTCGTCGAGACGATTTTTGAATTTGTTATTTATTCGCGACTCGTCATCCGTCCTTTCGAAGGATTCAACCTCTTGTTTCGAGTATTCCGTTCACGAATTCTTCTTTGACATGTAAATTAGAATTTACGAGAGGAAACCTCGCAAGGAAACGAATACGAATCAAAATTTGTCTTTTCTACATCTACGTAGGATGCGATAAAAATTGAAAGAAATAAAAATAAAAATGGAACGAGGAAAGGGAGATTAATTTACCACGATCTAGCTAGTTAACCGTAATTACTTACGGTTGACGTAACCGAGTTATTCAAAGCCTTTCAACGTAATTAGCAATCGTTAATGAACGATCCGATGATTTGTATTCATTAAATCGTTCGCTCTCCGATATAACATTCCTCTCGCGTGTAACGCCAAGAAAATTTATCCTGTTCTGCTCGTACAGCGATCAACGAGATAAATTATAATAGACGGTATAAGAAAAATACGTCAACGATATTCTCTCCCTTCTATATATTTATAATACATAACTGTTAAACGATTCATATTTTATGTCTCGTTGATGACGATTCTTATCGAATTCACGTACAAGGTGGTTATCTTTCTACGCAACGTCTGCCTACAAAATGTAACAAGAAACACAGGACTTGGACTTTATCGACGAAAATAAAATTTGGAAAGCGAACAGGTTCGATTTGTCACGATGACATCATCTCTCGTGAATTGTTACACTCGCGTACAGTTGGAATATAATATTGACGAGGATCGCGTCCTCATTGCGCCCGACAGATCTATCGAGATTCGACCTCGTTCAGCTCATTAGTACAACATCGATAACGCGGTGTTAATTGGGATCGTAAATATCATTGCTTAACGTTCCACGTCCGGTCACCTATGGAACCACGTTACCTACGGAATTATACCAGCAATATTGCTAATGTTTCAAATATAATTAATATAATTATATAATAATTAATAATCGAGGAAAAATTTTCAAAGAGAAAGATTCGATTTCTCGAGCTTATTCTGGGAACACCGCCTTCTTTTCGCGACTTTTCGTGTAGTACCTTTTTGATGCAGATTCGACTGTAAATACGACGTCTATGCATTTACGCCCAAGCGCTTTTCAACGAGCGCGTTGAAAATTTTTTTTTTTTCTCTCCTGCGATATCAAGTATATATACGCGGTATTGAGAGTATTTCCTTTCAAAGCGAGATACTAGAACATCGTGTGATATTTCGTAATCGTGATTTACTCTCATTTCCATAACCAATGATTCCAACAACTTTAATATTAACTGTGACGTAACAAATCCTTATCGATTCCGAAATTCCATTTTCGATCAACTTTCTACGATCTCTCTTCCTTCTTTTCTAAAAGAATTCCATTCTTTAAGCCTATCATACACAATGTAAACAGACACTCAATTTTCATAATTGAAATATTTACCGACTCGGATCTCTTCTAGAATTCTCTTTTTTACGATTTTACTTAGAAAAATAGAAAAGATATATCACACTGGAATATCATCTTTTGATGCGCTTTGACCGGAACGGAAATGTCGAAATTGATATTTACTCGATGCATTCTTTGATTGTATAAATCTGTACAAAATGACAGATGTTGCCTTTGTTGCACACAGATCATTGAACTTGAACCGAAACCGATCTTTGTCGGTTTTTTAAATTTTAAGAATGCGAGCACGAAGCTATCTTCGACTTATATTCATGCAACGAACATTTGTATATTTCTTCGAAACAATTTTCTTTGATCCGATACGGTCGTAACTTACGATTGTGTTAGACTAGCTCAACGACAAGTTTGTGCACCTAATAGCGAGATTGCATCGATGCGCATCGCATGGAAGTGTATGAAAAAATAATCTCGAATTGAATGGGGAGACAAAAATTGTAGCGACAACGTTGATCTTCTTAATCGTCCTTCGGAGAAAATTGTTACGCCATTTCATTTTTCTCATCGCGAGTCTTTAAAAATATCCCCCCTCCCCCCAAATCGTTAGATATCGAATTTATCGAGAGTTAAATTCGGGTCGATAGGTAAGTCGATTCTTTCATCGAGGAAAGATTACGTAAAGCAAGGTTTATATAGGCAGCAAGGTAATAGTATTCTCGTGTTGGCTTAATAATAAAATTGCTTTTCAACCTGCGACAACACGTCGCAATGTTACTTACGTTCTCTATTTGCGACAAGTGAGTAAGTAAGTATGCGACTTTGAACGTTATGGCTCGAAGCGACTGAAACGAGATAAATTTCAGACACGATTCACGATGCACCGTTTCTATTCGAGGAAACTTATCTTATTGTTTGAAATTCAGTACACCGAACTTATGTATATCGTGATAAAAAGGAAAAATCAATTTCTCTTTCGAGAACAATAGGATAACGTTTTCTAGAAATTCTAATTATCGATGATTAATGACGAATAATTATTCGATCGAAACGATATTAACGACGCTAATCGTAAAAAGATAAGACCAAAGAACAGGACAATCGTTCGATACCATTCAACGATTTTACGACTGTCCCGATCCCCAAGGTAGCCGTTTTACAATTTCTTCACGGTTCTCTATAAATAATAAAGTTTTACGGGCGAACGACTTATCGCTTTTGAACGTTTCAGCGTACTTACGTTGTAAGTAGTGGTTCTTCGAGCCTTAAAGTATATAAAGCCAGTTCCCACTGGAGACGCGTATAACCGAAGCGGTAACTAAAGCGAAACGTGGAATATCACTCGTGTTGGAATTCCAGCTACGACGTTGTCCGTGACAATGCCACGTCTCCGAGAAACAATCCTTTCCCATCGATCGCATCCAACGTTCATCCCGAATCTGATCCCGCTTTTTTTCTTCTTTTTTCATCAATTTTATCCTTTCCACTTTCCACTTTGCGGCGATATCTTTTATTACATCGAGATCACGTCAGCCTTGTTACGTTTCTATTTCTGTTAGAAAAAAAGAAAAATTATTCGAAATCTTCTTTCGAGTTGTTTTACCCGACAATTAATTATGACAGTTTATTAACGGTCATTGATTAAAAATTATAACGATAAAATTATCAATTTATATCAAATTGGAATTACATAGAGATTTAATTAATATATACTTTTAATTAAACCGGTAATTTAATTTACGATGTAGAGATGTAGAGATGCATTTTGCAACATTTCACAATAATTCATTTCCGTATTTCTACGATTTCAAGAAATAGAGATTTCAAGAATAGAGATAGAACTCATTAACACGCGTGTGTTGGAAACAAATTCGCTTATTTATTTTTTTACTTTTTTTTTTTTTCACGTTATAATTGTGCATCGGCCGATCTCTCTGCAGAGAGAGAACGAAACAAACGCGCCTGGAGACAACTGACGCGGTAATTTAATCAGCGGAAACAACTTTTGCATCGGGCCGAAACAACTTCTCCGAGACGAATTTGCAATGTAAACCGTGAAACGACACGTGTAGAAATTCGCATAAATGATGGCAATTATGCGCACGGGTAAAAAAAAAAAAAATATATTTCTCCAAACTTTTCCCTCTTTTCCGTGATATACTTTCGACTATGCGACGCGAATGTCTTTTATCCGCTCTTTTAAAGACACACACAAAAAAAAAAGGAGAATCACGCAACCCGGTTGCGCGACTCGGTTGCGTGTGCCACAGCGATTGCACAATCGCCTCGACCGAGGAGCGATCGAACGCAACTTCATTCAATCTCGTCATCCGGTGCACACGGCTGCGAGACGAGCCTTCCGGTTTCAAACGGCTCGAGGAGAAGGCAATCGAGGAGACACGCTCGGCAGACTCTATATCTATATATATTTTTTCACGCTGGAATAAAAAAGTGCTTCGCCTCTGAATTTTTCCTCCTCTTTCGAGAACAACTTTTTTGCGATTTCGCTCTGCGATAAACAACAATTGGAAATATTTATAATATATTTCACGGTAGAAGAGAAAGGAAAGCGTTATCAGAGATAGAGAAGATTCGATGGAATCGAATCGAATCGAATCGAATAAATTCGATTGGGTGGAGTGTTAATAACAACGATTCCTCCTCCCTTCCCCTCTTCGTTCCACGAATGTAATTCGGCTCGATTTTGCGCGGGGCAAGTTGATCGTAAAGAGTCGATCGCGGCCCATAAAAACGGAAAGCAGCTCGATAGTTCAGCGTCGACGTTGCGTGAAAGATACGGTTATTGCCGATGGCGCGAGACTTTGAAATATTCAGCCGGGCGGGGAATACGCCACGGTATGAATATAATTCCGGCCATTGTCCCGCAAAAATTGATTCCTTCACGCGTGCGTCCTCCTCCTCCTCTCCTCCCCAACAAACGTGGAAAAATTAAATCTCCAAGCGACGCTTGTTCCGCCTCGGGGGCCAAATTAAATTCGACTTACAGGTGGCATTGACGGACACGGATCATTTCAATTTTAAACCACTCCCCTCCCCGTATAACCTGTCGCGAAATTCACCGCGCCGCCGATTCTCATTTCGTCCCTCTTCGTTTCTCCCTTTCTCCCTTTCTCCCTTCTTCTCCCTTCGAAACATTATATAATATTATATTTTATTATCCCCTCTCTCTCTTTCTCTCTCTATTAACCGAATCCTTCTCCGCGTGTATCTCCTCCGTGAACGAAATGAATTATTCGAGAAATCTAATAATCCCGGTGGAAAAATGATATCGAACGAGGATATTCAAAGATAATCCAATTGTACAATTACACGGGAGAAATTAGAAGAGCGAAACATGGCGAATTGGCTCGATCGATTCCAGATCGACCATCCGTGTCGTTAATGACTCGTCTACGGAGGATTTAAACAGGCGATCGAGTACATAGAGGCGCGTACGGATCAGCGTTACAATCAAATGGGAAAGGAGAAGAAGCTGATGTAAGCGGGGAATATTTTAAACGCAACGACACGGAAGAAAATTACACGAGCTCCTTCTCCTCGTTCGAAATACGTTTATGTGTACACAGGAATCGGAGAGACACATTTTTCGAGCTCTCTCTCTCTCTCTCTCTTTGTATATATATATATATACCTGTATGCGTATATTATTTGGCAAGATTTCGCCATCCTTGATTTTAGACGGGGAAATTTCTTTCAACGATCCATGTTTCGTGTTTCAGATCTACCCCAGCTTGAAGGAAGAGGGATCGGTGCTGGGCGGTGGGACGCAAAGAGTGACAAGGTGGGTTAAGCGGCGCGGTTGTAATAAACGAATGCGCGTGCAATTAAACGGAACGGGGTTTTATCGGTGGCGCGTTACAGGATTTAAGTGTCCGTTTTTAAGAGGTTGGAAAGTTGCCACGGACCTAGAATCGCACCAGCTGTTAATAACGTCGCGGACGACGTACGAGTCGAGATAATAAGAATCCCGAATAGCTTCCTTCTCCATTAATTCCTTTCATTTCGGATCGCGCTCCATCCGACGATCGTCCTTTATCCGTTTCTTTCCATTCTCTCGTTCGTTCGAATGACGAAAATATAATCGAAATAAATCTAACGCTCCCCCTCTTAACTCGATTCGAATTAGCCTGCAATTTCCTAGGGAAACATCAAATATTGACCAATTAGCCGCGTTACGTCTTAAATTACCGTTGCGCTCGCGGTACAACGCAGAGAAATTACGTTCACGGGTCGAAACGCGCGTCTCGGCTAATTAGGGACGGTTTCCCGCTCTTATCGATCACCCTCCACGATAATTCGTGAGCGTAACTAATTTCGTGGCCTCGAGACGAGGGTCGCGCTCCGACGTTTCTTTCCTTTCGGAAAGAGAGCTCCGTGTACTTTACTCTTCCCCGACAAATAGTCATCGTTACGATTCATAGGTTATCATTTATTTGAAACGCTTTTTATCGCGCAATTTTACTCGTAACTCTTTTTCTCTCTTCGAAAATATTGCATTCGCAATAATTATCCTCGAAAAAATCGGCCGCCCGCGATGCAAATGTTTCACCGTTTATACCGTCCCGATAACTTCAATATTTGCCGTCAATATTTTCTCTTGAAATTAACCCAACTTTGTTCGAGATGTGTTGGATCTGATTAAAAAAATACGGCTCGTTCGTAAGATATTACTCTGTAATCGACGTTGCAAAAATTAGAAAATCGTTTCTCCGAAAAATTTTACAACTGCATTATATACGCGAATACAAAAGTGAAAAACAATCGCGCACCGATGTTCTCGTCCAAATATTTTTCGTTTAAATAATTCTCCAATGTTACTCTCGTCCGGATACAGATCGATTTACCATTCATCTCGAATCGTCTCGACTATCTACTATCTACTTCCAGAGAAGACTATCTACTTCCAGAGAAAGAGATAACGATGCTCGATTCCACGTCTAAACGAAAAAGGAAGAAAGAAAGAATTTCAATCACGAAAAGATAAAAATCGAGAGACGATAACGATTTGTACGGAGCTTTTCTCTCTTCGTCTTTAAACGCGAAACTGTCGCAGAGAAAGAAAAAAATATGTATATAATCACGGCGCAACACGGTCGAATCCATCTTCCGTCGCGTAAACGGCTCATTCCGTGTACAAAACACTCGTACTCGTAATTTCCCCTAGGCCGATTATCCGGGCTACTCGTCTTACTTGATTAAACCGATTAATCGAGATCCAACGGTATCTATGGACTTACGATGTAACCGAACCAGGATTATTACCAAAGAATTATCGCATGGTGAGAAGCCATTGAAGAAAGAAAAAAAGGAAACGAAAAAGGAATTTCATTCTCCCTCGAAAGATTCTCAAGCGGTCGAGTTTTCCTCTTGGAAAACAATTTACACGTTCAAGGAGGTAAAGCCAACAAGGAGGTAAAGCCAACAACGAGGAGGGTTGTTCTTTCTTTCTTTCTTTCTTTCTTTCTTTCTTTCTTCTTTTTCCCATGGCGCGAACGAAGCGCGTTTTACACGGAGAAAATCGCGGCGGACAAGCTCGCAAATCGCTCGCGGGATTTTAAATCCCCGTTTCGTTGGTTACGTCGCGATTCGAGCGTGCCGGTTCAGCGTGTTACTTCTCTCCTCCTCGTTTTATCCTATTTTCTTCCCTCCACTCCTTCTTTTCCAACTCTTTTTTCCCTTGTTTTCTTTCCACTCCCCGCTTTCGCGGATTCTCCGTTTTAAAGTGGAACGAATCGAGCCCCACTGGCTCGACGTTCGATTACGCGCACGGAAATATTCGAGGAAATGACGATCCCAGTTGGGTAAAGTTGGCCCGTTAAACGTCGATTTCCGAGTCGAGGAATCGCCACGATTAATCCGAGTTTCTTCTCCTTTCTCCGCAAATTTCACAAATCTCGAAACGATACATCGTTCCAAACAATTTCGCCAAGAAATTTTCAAACGACGATAAATACATCCAGATTGCTGCCATCTCGTGTCGGATACGAGTTCTTATCGAAATCGTGCATTTTTTTTGCGCTAAATACTAGTTCGCGTTGTTCAACGCGGGACAAAGGTAACCCCGGTTGAAAAAAGGAGAGAGAGGCAGGATCGTATCGCGAATTAAGATCAGGATCGCGTGACACTTTTTGTTCCCATATACGGGTTTCAGGTATGGCGACACGATCCGCGGCGTGGGTCGCGTTTAGCTTGCTTTTTCCACCCACGCCATACCTTTTTAAGGTCAATGGAACAGGCCTCGCGCAGGTGTGCCCGAAAATAAGAGGATCCCGATTTGGACGAGTTCCTATTCCGATTCGCTTATTTCGATCGAGTCAGCGAAAATCGACGTTTTACGTTTCTCCTTTGTAAGAACAGTGAGTGTAAAGAAATTAAGGAGCGTTGTCTAAAAGTCGAAGGTAGTGGCAAGGAAAATGCCGCTTTTTTTTTTCTCTCCTTTTCCTTTTCTTTCCTTTTCTTCCACCACCATTCCGCTTCTCCTCCTCCTGTTATTTTTCTTTATTACAGGTATCGATCCTCTAGTATCGAACCGTGTTTCTATTTTTCAAATCGAGCCCGAGAGAATCGAGTTTTGCACGAATTGTAAAAAATGTAGATAAAAATCGACGGTTTATTCTGGGTCGAATAGATGAATAAGATTATACGTTACACGTATTTTTGTTCGGGGAACGAAAAACGACGTCCTACTAATTTTTATCTCGCATTTTTACATATGAAAAAAAAAAAAAAAAAAACGATCCAGATTAAAACGAGGAACGAAAACAAAATTCGATAAATCCGCGGCACTATTTTTCCCAAAATAATTGGAACGTCGATTTCCATTCGACTTAACGTGCACGATTTATTTCGGTGGATCGAATACAACAGCCAACGACACGTACATCTACTTTATTTATGCACTCCGTTAAGCCGGGATCTAATTTATGCAGCGGCGTGTTCCGATCACCGATGCATCATTCCCATTGTCCTCGTCCAATTCACCGGATCGGGTCACACAACTGTCAAAGTAACCGTAGCGACAGTAGCGACAGTAGCGGTAGTAGCGGCGGATGCGCATCAGATGGATTCTTCCTTCTTCGAACCGCTTATTAATCGCGCTATAATTCACAATCGAACCAGAGATTCCAAGTTTTACGATTCGACTCGATCGATTTAATTAAAAAAGTCACGCGAAACGCAGTGAACGGGGACGTTGCTCGAAAAATTGCGATATTTTTTCGTTATAAGCGGAGACGCGAGAATTCGAAAAATTCGTAAAACGATGATATAGGCGTCCGGCCTGTTCCAAAACTCCAAACGAAACGCGGTACGCGTCGAAAGCAGCCGACAACGGTACACGTTATAATGGTTTTACGATTGTCAAGTGCATTAGTAATGGCGGGAAACAGGCAACCGATGGAAAATCCGATATCGATTGCTCGCGGAATAATGCGCGTTTCACGATACGTACGAACGAGTTGCTAATCTTTCCACGCTTTTACCGATTCTACTCGAAATTTCGCCAAGTTATCGAAAACAGGTTTGAGGAGAAATAGAACGATAAGTGATAGCTCGTATCATTACGAGGATTCACGATTGGATCGGATTCCAATTCTCGTACGAGACACACCCGAATAAAAATAGGCATAAGAATCGCAAAGTTGAAATATTCCAATATGAAGAATTCGTTGGAAAAATTTTTACTTTTTCTCTTCGATCCGAATGGGAAAGAATTCGAAACAGGATGGACGAGTAAGATGGAGAAGAAAAACGTTAATCGATGGAATTTTCGTCGAGAAGGAGTTAAAAGGAAGTTTGAGAGGAGGAGAAGAACGTCCCCGCAAGAGTTGTAGCCCGGGGGACGCGAAGAAACACGGCATGCATTCGCGAGCAAGCGCGTAATAGAGGCGACGGTGCCAAATAATTCGAGGCGGGTCGGCTGGAAATTTTCGAAACGCGGAAATTGCGCTCGCGAATCGAGGCCCGCAAAGACGGTAACAAGGATAGAAGGAAGGTTTTACATCGTTACGAATATATTTGCAGCTCCGAAATAGGGTACGCTGGTTCGCCGCCAAGGGAAGCGCTGACCAGAGGGAGAAGCATAGACTCCGTGGACAGGCCCTTTCATCCGAGCGACTGGGTCGACGTGAACCTCGAAGTTCCCAGCACACCGAGGGCGGCCTCGGTGCTCACCAATTTAACCGTCGACACGAACCTCTATCCGGCCGCCACCCCAACGTCCAGCTGTAAGCTCGCAATTTATCGTTACCTCGTATTGCAACCTGTATCCTTAACGAGAACACGCTCGTTCCGACATGCCGCCCGATAAACATAGTATAACCCGTGTAACACGCTCTCCCTCTTTCTAACTAACTAAGAGGAGAGAAAAATTACGCGTCGGAATTCCGGCATGTCGAAAACTTTTCTTTCGATTACGTTTTACTGATTCTTGGATCAGGTTCGAATCTAAAGGACGTGACACCGATTCCACCGCCGAGACGTCGAAAGCGGAACAAGGGCAGGCCTTTGCCACCTAAACCGGACGAGGTGGGCACGGAGAACTCGTCCAACGGGCCCGTGGACCGCACGGAGACCGGCAACGAGCCGTTATACTCGTCGGTGAGGTCGCCGAAAAGCAGCGGGGACGAGCAGGAGGCGGAAGAGAAGGCGAGGCCGCACGAGGACGGGGGGAAAAGGGCAAAGGAGATTTACGAACACAAGGCGAGTATGCGTCTTCTCCGTCGTAAATTCACCGCGATTCGATATTCCGCGAGAATATTTATACCCTGGCCGCGACTCGGCAAACAGTGGAAAATCTGTGAAACAAGTATCGACATTAGGAGGGCGAGTGGGAGGACGAGGATTTCGTCCAAATAAAATCCAACTTTCTCTCCTTCTTTATCCTTCCCGGAAATTTCCATTCGGGCGAAATGAAAATTTTGAAAAATCGATCTCGATCAGAGGGTTCCAAATTTGTAGGAGAGAAATCTCCTTCGTTCCCTATAAGGAGCCTAAGGATCTTGGGATTACAGGTTAACGGAACCGGGAGAATAATACCGAGCGACGTGGTTTCCGGGAGAAGGTGTTACGAGAGCGGGGGTGAGCAGCAGCGCAGGGCTGGGCGCGAAAGCGACGAGTACGAGAGATTCGCCAACAGCCGCACGAGCAGAGATTCCTCCACTCCGAAGCGCGAGGAGAAGAGAAAATGGAGGCAGGCGGAGAAGCGAGTGGAGGAAGGGAGCGGCAACGCGAGGTACAAACACTTGAGCACCGTCAGCCTGCCGAATTACGACGAGTTGGACGCGACCAGGCATCGATCGAGGCAAGCGGACGAGTCGACCTTCGAGGTCTCCCCCCGCCCGAGGAGGCCCGTCAGGAGCAGCACCGTATCGCTTCCGGCCGAATCCTTCCTCTCCCCATTTTCCGAGGTACGCAACCATTTTCCATCTCCCTCTCCCTTTCTTCCCGATTCCTCGAGCTCGACAAGGAGTTCAAACGAATTTATTATCCACGAATTCGAAAGAAAATTCGTCGCCGAGCCAAATCCAAAAACGCTAATTACAATTTATCCTGATCCGCAGAAAACGAGCGTGCGATTGGAGGATTACGTTCCAAGGTCCGGTAACCTATCGCCCTATCAGGTTATAGAGAAGTTGAGCAGAGCGAACGGGATGGTGAAAGAATACGAGTACGTAAAGTACGACTCGAGCGGAGGGGAGCATTGGGAATTAAGCGACATCGGATACTCGGAAATTCAGGTAAATTCGTTCCAACGTTTAGAGTCGAGTCGAATTCCCAAAATTCGGAGATGAATAAGGGGATTTCCAGGATAAGAGTTGGGACGAGGACGCGGAGAAGGAGGTCGACCCCTCGATCGGCCGAGAAGACGACGAAAGGAGATCCCCTTCGACGAACGGCCGCGTTCCCGAATCTCCCGTCTACTCGGAGAAGCCCGAAGCGTTTGGAAAAACGGGATCCCCGCTGGTCGACCAACCGGAACTCGCCCAAGTCGATCCAAATAGGTCGGTAGAGAGATTATCTATGGTCCTTGTTCCGGGGATTAAGTGGGTTTAATCGAGGTGCCCAGATGCCAACCGTTGTAAGTCCATATTCCGTGGTCTTAGCATCCTGACCATTGTATAATCTTCTCTCGCCACTTTGCAAAACTTATTACGTTTCTATCCACTCGGACCGTTATTAGCTTCGATGTACGTCCAGTTTACGTAAGTGGAATTTACTTTGATTGCAAACGTAAAAATCAATCATCTTTACATAGTATCCATTCATAGTCGCAATCGTGCAAAATTTCCGTCCGATAACTTGGTATTCGAAAACTCGACCAAACAAAGTCTGGATGGAGAAATAATAATTGTCTTTTCTTCTCTTTTCTAGATCTCACGCGAGATACTATGATCCACCCACCATGGCAAACTGTTGCAAAATTATCGGCGAGCCGTTTTTCTTGGACGAGGCGAAACATCGTTCCGTTTTAGGTAAATAGAGACGGGAACAAACGTGTTTTCGTTGGTACGCGCTTCGAAAAAAAAAAAAAACTTTCCTGTGCGTTTTCCATCCAGAGATCGATCCTAGAAGAGAGAACGTTAAAGATCTTTCTACATTTGTTCTTTCTTTTCCGTTTTCAAACTCGATACCACCTACGTATAAAGTCTTCCTTCCCTTCTCAACGAATCGAAGATCGCTATAGCGGCTTCGATCCGATCGACAGCGATTAGAAAGCGGTAAATTTCAAAGCTAGACCCGAAACCCGATTACAACTTGGCAAAGTTTCGTTTGACGAATCTCCCCCCCAAAGATCCCCCAAAACAAGGAAGGATCCTTGTTATTCCTCCGAAATCACAGAGGTGTATTCCTCCGGTGAGACGATCCAAGCGGAAAGGATCCAACGACTGTACCGGTTAAACCGCGTTTCTCTCCATTTACCAGATACGATCGGCGGGTCGAGCGAGGAAGGGAAATCCGACCGATCGAGGACCGCGTCGTGTCGGGCGGACCCCGAGGAGGAGGCCGAGTTAAGCTCCACCGCTCTGATCAGAACCATCTCCGAGGAGTCGTTGCCGCGCGAGATGCTCGAGGAGCCGGACGACTTCTTCGACGAGAAACTCGCCAAGGACGCGCGCAACAACATGAAGAAGTGTCTGGACGATTGGAGGACGAGCGGCACACCGCCGCCCAGCCCCGAGCCCAGGACCAAATCCGCCGTCCTCGACCCCGATCACTCCACCCTGTTCAAAATCCTGAGGGAGGAGGCGGCGGAGGAGAGCAACGTGAGCTCCATGACGCCCAGCCTCACCGAGTTGGAGGCCGCCTTGTCCGACATGTTGGAGAAGGAGGAGCCGCAGGAAGGCGGGAGCAGAGCCAACAACGAACAGATCCCGAAAATATTGGAGCCCGTGATCGAGGAGTCGAGCAACAAGGATCGAAACGGGGCGAGGTCGGCCGAGGCGGGGGAGAGGAGTCGATTCACGACGGACGAGAGGAAGGCGACGAGGGTGGCAGGGTCTCGAAAGGTCTCCTTCTGCTCGTGGGAAGAGTCGATCGCGGCGGCCGACTCTCGTCGATCGGAAGCTGGACCGAATCCGGAGAACGAGCAGTCCTTTTCCACCGATATCCCGCCAAAGAAACCCAACAGATCGAACAAAAGCTCGGAGGAGGATTTCTCGGATCTCGTCCCGACACCCCCTCGAAGGAAGAACAAGAGCGGGCTCGGCGTGGCGAGGAGGGAAGCCGAGACGGCGCAAAACGGCACCACCGCGCCCGACCACCACCTCCACAACGACAGACTTATCTAATCGTCGTTCGACAACGTCACTGTTCCGCGCTTACGAAACGAACGAGAAATCAACCATTCCGCCGCGATCGCACCATTGTATATATCTTTCTGTATATGTATATCTTATGTATCTATCCGTGTATGTACAATACATGATCGTTTCGATCTGTGTTTCTTTCCGCGAGATGAATCGTTCGAAGCGACGATTACCAATCGTTTCGTGGCAAAGATTAAATTTCAGTCTTGGACGGATCTCGAGTAGGCGAAGCTAGTTCCTGGTTTCTCCTCGATGGTAAACTTTCTAACGAACTTTTCCAGAGGAAGCGACATCGAAAATCGCGAAACTTGCCTCGCAAACTTTCCGATCAACGAGCATCGCAGATGTTCGCGCCTTATTGTTGCCCGCAGAACCATATTACCTCGAATTAGATCGTCCAACCTTACGATTGCTCGGCGTGGAGATGGCGATATTTATGGAATTGTATAATTCGATCGATATTCCAGTTTTAATTTCAAACTTTGGAAAAACATTTCGTCCATCTATTAATCCGAAGCGACACGGACTATTGATGGATAGAGCGCGAAAACTAGGAGCAGAGTTTTTTCATTTTTTGGTGGCAGGCGTTTATGGAGGAGAAGCGTGATTGGAATTACGTTTGTTCGAATTTGAATCTTCGAAAGAGCGTGTGAAAATACTTTGATCGCTGACGATGAAATAACCGAATGCACGAGATTGATTGAACACGTTTGAAAGTAAAGCAATAGGAGAAATAACCCGACGAGATCGAATTAACGTCGGCGCGATATCTTTTCCCCAATTCTCCAACGTTTTCGAGAAATCGTTCCATTTATAGAGGACACGGTGTACAGAGGACGGGGTCAGCGTTTGGAATTCAGGAAGCAGCTTGTTCCGAAGAAAAAGCGGGACGTGATTGGACCGGGCGGAAGGAGCGAGTTTCTCGCCATCTCGACGGGAAGGTCCCTCCCTCCCTTCGACCCCTCCGGCAAGATTAATCTCGTTCGAGACGGGGCGAGTTAAGTGCTCGTGACACACGAGGGTGCGTGGGTACACGAGCGCGGGAAAAAAGGATCCGCGCTAATCCGTGTATCGGCAATGGGAAGGGGATGAGACGTTCGATTCGAGAGCTGGCGAGAAAATCTTATATGTACGATTAATAAATATACGAGTCGAAAGGAGAAGAAAATGAGCGAGGTAAGTAAATAACCGAAAGGATTATTATTAGAGTAGAAATTGGCGAGGAAAGTGGTATTGAAAAGAAGGTGCAACGACGTGAGAAATGAGGCGAAAGGGCGGAGTCTATCGATCGATTGGCATCGATTGGCGTCGTTACTCCCAGGTTTCGACTTACTTTTTTAATTATCTCCACGATCATTCGCCCCCTCCGGGTTATCGTTACGCGTTCGACGGAACCATCTTAATCGGTTTAAGGGGAAGCGGTCGAAGGAAACGAACGAAAGCAGCCGGAATTACGCGGATCGATCCACGCTCGCGCAACTTGCTCTAATTATTTCGTGTTTCATTAACCAGACCTCTTCCAGACGCGATCGAAACTTTCGAGATTACGAGAGGAGGCCTTCCCTCCCAACCGTCACTCTCGCACCACCGCTTCTCCGACTTTGCCACCTTGTCCCACTTCCCAACTAACTTCCTTCCTCCGATCTCTCCTCCTTTCCCAAGATACGCCCAAGTTTCCCGAATCGCGAAATCGAACCTTCTCCTTCGCCCGTTTATTAATTCGAAACAGGGGATAACTTTGTCCAGGTGAACGGGCAAAATATATTTACGCGTCCCATTATATTGATCTTCCGCGTACGACTCGATATTTATTATTATGCTTCTAAAAGAAGAAGAAAGAGAAAAAGCCCACTCGGGCGAATGGAAAAAAACATCGGAGGAGTCGATCGATAGATAAATTCTATTTAATCTTTCCTCGATGAAGCGAATTTTATTCCCGGATAATAATGGATAAACTTGGCATTAACGGACGAAAAAACGTCCAAGTTTTCGAGAGAAGAATGGGGTGGAAATTGGTAAGCTCGTAAAGAATCCGAGCTTCTCGGTATTTTGCGAAATTAGCGCCAACGGATTATAGGTTCGGCCTGTACGTGACACTCCTATTAGTGTCGCAGAGGAGGGAGAATCAACTTCCCTTTCTTCCTCTTCTTTCTTCCCTTCCCTTCTCGAGTCGACAGAGTCCAGGCCGAACGCTCGATAGATCTGCAATTTCTTTGTGCCTCTCTAAATCTCGTTATCCTATTACTTGCACGAATTATAGGGTTCAAACGAGTTGTTAGTAGCTTCTGTTTGAGTAAGCAAATTGGACAATTAGCGAGCCGAGTTCCCCTCTTTTCGCGAGATAAAACTTTTAACAATAATAACGAATTATCTTGCGCGTTCTATGGCGTTTACGCGACTTATCGCTCGCGCGTACGATAAATAATTAATAATCGAAAACATCGAGAGTAAACCGGTCGATGCCGAAAATATTAAAACGGCAAAGAGAGAGAGAGAGAGAGAGAGAGAAATCTATTTCCAAATAAAATCGGAATCGCGATGAAAAAACACGCAAAGCAACGGTGTACATGTTCACAATTTTTATTCGACGATAACGCTGCGAGCTAGTGTCTAGTTTGCGATAAAAAAAAAAATTTAGATAAAAAAAGAAATTTAGAAATAGAAAAGGACGGCAAAAAAAAATATACTCGATTACGCGCAATAACAACAGGAATTTATTTTTGATTTATTCCGCAATAACGATAGATATTAGAGGATAGAAAATTTAAAAGCGCTAGATCGGCACGTCGAAAAATTCGTGCCAACGAAATAAAACCGCGACAAAAGCATATTTTTAAAATATCCGATATAATAACAACCGAAAAAAAAAAAAAAAAAAAAAAAACGTTAAAAAGAGACTTTCGAAAGATCAACGTATATTATTTCTAGACGTATGTTTCTTTCTTTCGCGTTTCATATATAATGACTCGCGAAAACCTTCATCTCGCATTCGATGAAACGAAAAACGGCGATATCTACCTTCGACGAGTCGACTTATTCGTCGAACAAAGGAGCGTGGATCAACGCTGTTAATCCAACCAGCGAACAAACAACCTGTCTCGAATCCCGCGCTCGACAAGGATGGCATCGCGAGTTAAGCGGGCAAATTTATGGACTCGACCAACTATTTAGATAGGCGGAGGGGGGATGGAACGATTCCGCTTTTTGCACCCTTCTCTCGTCCCCTCTTGCGCGTATTCCGAAGAACAAGGAAAGCGACCCCATCCCCCCTCGGTCTTCGACCTCTCCATACGCGTATCGCTCTCCCCATTATATCCCCCCCGTTTCGACAAAGTTGCGCGACGCATACCTCGACCGAGTCGTGGCAACCCTTCCGGTGGCTTAATTAGTTTTTCGTCGACGGATAATCCGTGGGTGGGCGATTTGTCAAGGCCGGGCTGGAATTAAGGGGGCGCGATTTCGAGGCGGCTCGCGAGATTAAGACGATATTTAAACGAGGAGCAGCCGCGATTCCGTTTCCGGTTTCGCATTTCGGCTTCCACCAAAGCCCATCGTGGATTTATTTTATCGCGAGATTCGAGCCGGGGCCAAGAACCAAGCTTACCCCCTTTCCAAGTTTCGCGGGGGTTGGCGGAGGGGGTGGAATGCAAGGTGGATCGAACTTCTCCCATGTTTTGTAATTGTACGGGGATAGAGTCGGTGATTAATAAGGGGCCACTGCGGAAATTTCTAAACTACTTCGAGTTACTCGCAAGTCCTCCCAACACTTGGAAATATATTTTTTGGGTGGTGGAAGGTGATTCGATCTTCCTTCTACTTTGAATCCCAATTTCTACGCGATACAATTTTACTTTGAATTATTCGTAATATCGACTCGTAGTAGTAGTAGTGATGATAACGAAATGCGAGAAAATGATGGAAGGTAAAGCAAATTGGAAAGGTGGACAACTGGTTCTCTCGTTCGTTTTAAATCTTGGCGCCGCATTCGCTTTCGGAAAATTTAAGGGTCTTTAAGCGGGGATGTAATTCGAGTTCTGGATAGCCCGCATGCCGATGGCAAAGAGAAAGAAGATCCAAGTGCTCGTAAAACGGCTTTCACGAGATCAAACTTCGCCACGCGGAATCGATCGAGTCATCCGGGGCTAGGCTTCCTCGCGTTTGTAAATATATTACCTCTCGAATCGCCGTAAAAATTGTATACGATTTTTATCATGTCTATAATGAAAAATTCCTAGAAAATTATAGAACGCGTCATGCACGTATTTTCCCCAATCTAAATCGATTTGAAACCATCTTTTCCAATTCGTAACAATATTTCTATCACAAATCTTACGCGCATAGAAGCGATCTCTTTCTTCGATGCGATCGAAAATTTAATAGATCGTATCGGCTTGTCGAATTCAAACTTTAGAAAAAACATTTCGGGTGCAGTTCGATCTGCATAGCATCGCAGTAACTTTGATATTGAAATTCTTCGAGAGTATCCATCGGAGAAAATGGTCAACTATGTTCAGCGTTTGCTTTATAAGGGAAAGAATTCGGAACGAACCGATTTTTCCGGATAACCCAACGGAAATTTGGGGAAGGAAATTTGGTAATAACTATTAAAATCACGAGTGATTCTTTACGAGGAACTCGTAAAATTTCGTCAAAAATAGGACAACCGTGCAGAGATTTCGCGTCGCGATAAATAATAAAAAATATAAACCCAGTTGCATTATAGCTCGGAGAAAGAGGAAAAGGAGGAAAAAGTAGTGAGAAGCTACGAACACTCGGTCGTAAGATCGTTCGTGGAGGAGGTAAAAAGAGTAGGGAATCGAAGCAGTTACGACTTTCCCTCGAAGCTCGATCCCTTCTCTCTTTCCACGTTTCTCCTCGGAATCGGTGCAACAACCGGTCCCGGAGGGCGCGAACGCGGCGTCGAGAGAGGGTAGTGAAACTTTTACGGCGGCTCACCACGATATACGCACGGCCGGAAGAGAAGGTTTGCCACCAGCCGGGGTGACGACGCCACGTTTCAACGTTTCGATTCCACGGGTGCATCTTTAATTGGCAATCTCGGTCTGGAAGCCAACGGTCGACGGGCACCGATAAGATTTCTCTTTCTCTCGTCTCACGTTAAATGCGT